TTTCGAAAACGCTTCTACATTGCCGTTTAACTCCCTTATTTCTTCAAACATACCTGTATCGCTGAGACAATTTTTTTTATAGAATAAGAGTGACAAACTAACGCACAGTCCACCGGATGGTAAGTGAGTGCTGTAGCTCATAATCATCTCCATCCATCGTCGATTAAGAACCGAACTGCATATGCGTTATTACGCCTGAGGACTATGATGGAATCACTGGTTTCTAGAAGAGGCATGCTATAGCTGTATTATAATTGCAGCACGAGTGGGTCAAAACAAACCTGAATTCCATTATAATATCACACAATATAATAATAGCACATAGTCCACCTAATGTTACGTGGATGCTGTAGTCCATAGGTATTTACATCTCTCCTCGAGTAAGAATTCAGATACATTGTCAACACTATGAACTAAAATGGAATGCCTCGTTTCCAGTAACAAGGGTATCCGGGTCTCTATACTGACTATTATTCCCAGTACTCTATGAGAGCATGGTGCTTTTCCGGTTAAGCCAACCCATCCGTGCAGCAACCATAATATAGTTGCAGCCTGGTTTTTCCACGTACAAGCTACCGTTGCAGGAAGAATTTGCATTAATTGTCACATGGCAGACGGATCCCGCGCCTGGAAAGGAACCCGGATGAAAGCCGCGCCCGCTGGTTATGCGATTGCGAAGCCGTACGACTCGCGATAAATGGCTGAAAGCACTAAAACGAAGTGTAAACAATAATCAGCTGTATGGATATACAGCTACATACGCATCGAAGGTCCAATTTACATATATGAAAATATTTCTCCACAAACTCGAGAATTATTTTACCTCGCTAAGGACAAATTAAAAAGCTCATATAAGTTCATATGGATACAAAACTCTAAAGTAGCTACTTATCAACAAGGGTGAAGCTGAAAATATAATTCACCAAATTAAAAGTGCATGCATTTACTATGTACGAATTCATTAGTAAAACCGTCTTAAGACATGTTATGTAAGTATGGATTGCAGTGTGCCGTAACGGATCATTATTTAACGGGACTTACTTTTCATACACGTAATTATATAATTATAAAGCGAATGGCCTGAACATGTAAGTACAAATATTGATAACATAAAACGTGACATATTATGTAACTAGCTTTTTACCCGCGGCTTCGCTCGCATGGGCTTGAATTTAGAAACATCGATAATACTATTTCGTACTAAAATTAGCAAAACTGGATCACTTGTAAAGAAGAGACGTCGGCACTTGTGTCTATATTGGCAATATTATAGGCTACAGAAACACATAAGTTAGTTTATCAGAATCACATAAATATCATACGTCAAGCTACACCTTTTTTAAATCGGGCACGTCTTTCGATGTGTCATTATGAAGGGAAAATTGTCCTGGAATCGGAAATGCGTTATTTACATAATAACCATTATTAAAGTTGATACAGTTTTGATAAAATAAGTTTTTATTTCACAATCTTTATTAATATTGGTCCCATTGAATATTGATTACCACCTCATACCAGTATTTTTTACGTTCGAGTAGATTTCAAAATTTCATAAATGTAGTTCTAAGAACTAAATTCATGAACAGCAGTAGAAATCTACATAAGATGAGAAGCAGCGTCTTCCTGATTATAGCTTATAATAATAAAAAATGCAGTTGACAACTCGCATGCCAAGTGTGGCAACTATGGCAAATATCCAATTTTATGGCAGTTTTTGGAGGAAATCCAATTGATGAACGGGAGTAGAAATAATATATTTGCCATGTAGAGGCAGCGAAAAATAAACCACTACCCCATTTCATCCCGTGGGTGTCTTAAGAGGCGACAGACGAAATTTAAACAGGAGATGGTTACATTTTCTTGATAACGGCGCAAAGTAACAAAGAGCTGCGGTTGCCAATCTGCTAACCAAGTGTGAATACTAATACCCGGTCTATTTGATATAGGCAATGGGTAAAGCCTACAATCAGCAGTGAAAAGCCCCATTAAAAGTAACAAAGTAGCAGCCTAAATATATCCTGGGCACAGGTCACAGAGAGTTTTAGGTCAAAAAGGAGTTGATTAAGTTGACTCCAATGCGGAATGACCGACTTCACATACCTATATCTAAAAATATTTTTCCGACATATTTTTTAGCATCTCAGATATGCAGATTAGATTTAGCATCTCAGATTCCTGCGATGTTTTTCTTCACCACCGAGAACCTGGTAAATCTAAACTACAAATTGCAGTTAAAATATAAGTTAGTGGACTTGGCGCTGATCTAATTTGAGTTACTTACGTACCAACTATGAAATTTACATTACGAACCCTTGTTTATAATTTGCTTTCTTTGATATTTATACTACTTTTTCACAAGAGCCCGTTAATTTACTCGTGTGAGCTATGCGACCTGGACTGTCACAAAAATTTTAATACTTATGTCTGAAAATATGAAATCTATCTTAATATATGACAAACTAAATAAATCTTATTTTGTAAATGAAATAACGATTTAATTTTTTTTTAAAAAACAATTATCACAAACAAACTTTTAATCAAATAATTTCAAAACAAAACTGGGCATAGGCTATTTTCTAATAATTAAATGCAAATTTAAAAATAAAACGAAAAATGTCGGTCACGCAATCAATCACTATCAACACGATGTGTACGCGTCGACGGCTCTCGGGCCAAATGGGCATGTCGCTGGGTGGCGCTGCCTTTTATAGGGGCAGATTTGTTTTCATATCTTCTCCTCCAATACGGCCTCTCCTGACAGGAGACCGTCCCCGGGCTCCTTTGATCCTTTATTCATTCCAGCAGAGGCATGGAAGGTCCCGGTCCTGCTGGCATAGGAACGTGGGGCGGCAACATCTCAGGCTCGACGTGAAGTGATGACGTCTCTGGCTCGACGTGAGGTGGTGACGTCATGGGCTCGACGTGAAGCTCTGATGCATCAACAGCAGCACTCCTCGGCTGCTGCACCCCAGACGTATTAGGCTGTGGCTCGGAGGCAGGCTGGCTGGCTGGCGAGAGAACCCCGGCAGAAGCGAGAGTTGACTCCTCGTTTTCGTGGTCTGAATCTGCACAAAACATTCAACAAATACCACCTGAGTCTACGTGACTCACAACTAAAATCCAAAATAAATAGCGCGCACTAAATTACTGAGAAAGAGGCACGACGTGAAGCGTTTCTCCAACAATTTAGTGTGCGGATGATTGCAGCTAAGAAAGAGGCACTACGTGAAGCTTATCTTAGCTTTTATTAACATTTCGTTAAAATAAATAGCGCGCGCCAAATTACCGAGAAAGAGGCACTACGTGAAGCGTATCTCCAATAATTTGGTGTGCAGATAATCTCAGCTAAGAAAGAGGCACTACGTGAAGCGTATCTTAGCATTTATTAAGTTAGAGGCACGACGTGAAGCATAACTTAATATCAGGTCAGGATAGAGGCACGACGTGAAGCTTGTCCCGACCACACACATGAATAACACATATGAAGCTTCATACATAACAAACAAGGGCCCAAAGTACTCACAACTGAAGTAAGCAGCACATACATCAGGAGTCCACTCTCCATGCCAAGGTATCATGTACTCCGCCGCCGCTTGAGTCGACTTCCCGTAGGAGCCGGTCAGGAGTCGAAGTTCGTAGCGCCCTTGTGGTAGCGTCCTTACGACGCGATAGGGGCCACGCATACACGAGTCCAACTTCCCAGCTGCTTGCGACTGCTTTCTCACAAAGACCAAACTGTTTAGTTTAAAAGCCCGGGGAGGCTGCCTCCCCCGATTTACATAAGCATCTTGTTCATGCTGGTTCCGCTGAAGTCTTTCAGATGCTCTCTGCCTACTCATTTCACGCAGGGTTTCTCTATTAGGATTGCTGCCCTCAAGAGCCACATCGCGTACCAAGCTTCTTATGAGGGGCGTGGCTGCCTCTATTCCAATCAGTAAGTTAAGGGTAGAGTATTGCGTGGTTCGGTGTTTAGTGATGTTCAACACCAATTGAACTTTCCACATTACACTTGGCCATGAATTTTGTCTATAACTGGTTTCAACACGGATCATATTTAACACCGTTCTGCAATAACGTTCCACTTGGCCACTTGATCGGTGCATCTCGGGCGTTATAAAGTGAGTATTACAGCCCATAGTTTCAACCCAGTTAAGAAATTCTGCATTTTGGAACATACGCCCTCTGTCAGCTACTATTAGTTTTGGCGCCCCGAAAAGAGAAATGAGGTTGGTAAAATGTCTCTTCAGTTCGCTAACGTCTTGACGATACATAGGGTAAAGGAGACAGAATTTGGAGAATGCGTCGATAACTATCAAGACATAACGATACCCATCTGCTTCAGGCAAGGGACCAAGGGAATCCATATGAATGGTCTCAAAAGGGAGGTTTGGTTTTTCCCAAGAGTTAATAGGCTGGGATGAGGCCTTCGCTATTTTCTTATGAGCAATGCACACTAGGCAATGTGAAATATACTTTTGTGCGAAATATCGCAGCCCAGGGAACCAAAAGTGCTTGGTTATTAAATTGACCGTTTTATCAACCCCCCAAATGGTTATGTTCATCGTGAAAGACACGAAGAAGGCTGAGTCGATGTCCTTTAGGAATGTAACAGAGGAAACGGGAAGGTTCTCCAGTAGGAGAATATTTCATATAGAGGATATCATTTTTGACCACATACCGTGTGGCATCTAATTGCCCATCGTTAAGTTTTTGTATAAGGCACCGAGTTTTCTCGTCGGCAGCCTGAGCAATCTGTGCCCAATTCTGAGGCTTCTGAACTGTACACACACTGACAGGGTTCCGACTCAGATAATCGGCGTGGGACATAAGAGTGCCTCTACGGTAATCTAAGGCGAAATCGAAGTCCTGTAGGTAGACCCACCAACGAGCCACCCTGGGAAGCAGGTCTCTCTTGCGTTGTGTGAGCCTTAACGCATTACAATCCGTAACGACAGTAAAACGCACACCCACAAGATAAGATCGAAAATGCTGCAATGCTTTTACAACTGCAAGGGTTTCAAGCTCATACGAGTGATACCTATTCTCGGCCCCTTGTGTGAGCTTACTGAAATAAGCAACCACTCGCCTGTGGCCACCGTCGTGCACTTGCAGCAAAATAGCCCCGTATCCGACGGAACTCGCGTCCGTATGGACTTCAATCGGCAAGGACGGGTCATATACTGCGAGAACAGGCTCGTCAGTTAGGCGTTCAATTAGGTCATTACGCGCAGCCTGTTGTTCCTTGCCCCAGTTAAATTCAACCCCCTTTTTAGTTAGAGCTGTTATACAAGCAGACCTTTGAGCAAAATTTGGTATATATCTGCGAAAATAACTGGCTAAGCCCAAGAACTGGCGAACCTGTTTCACATTTTTCGGTTCTGGGGACTCGACCAAAGCTTTGACTTTGCTAGGGCTCGGTCGCACCTGACCCTGGCTAATTTTACGGCCGAGGTACTCAATTTCTTCTGTTAGAAAAGAACACTTTTTTAAATTAATCGAAAACCCCGCTTCAGTCAAGGCTGTCAAAACTTGGTGCAAAAGGTGAAAACCCAGGTCTATTGTTCTACTCAATATCAGCACATCGTCGATATATACATGCACATCACCAGAATCAATAAACTTTCGGAGAGTTTTCGATATACTACGCTGATACACAACCGGAGTATTGGCTAGGCCGTAAGGCATTTTTAGATATTCAAAATGCCCCTCCGGCGTGACAAATGCCGTGAGTGGAATGGACCCCTCGCTGACTGGGATCTGGTGGAAACCAGTAGCCATATCAAGACTAGTGAAGTACCTGTTATGACCTAATCGATCTGTGTAGTCGTCTATACGTGGGAGTGGGAATCGGTCTTTAACAGTCACTTCATTTAACTTGCGAAAATCCACGCACATTCTGTCCGATCCATCTTTCTTTTTTACTAAAAGAATAGGGCTCGCGTAATCCGATTCCGACTCACGTATGATCCCCTTTGAAACAAGGTCATTAATTATTTCACGTACCCGAAGTATCTCATTGTGAGACATCCGATAAGGCCTGTAGCTAATGGGAGTGTCACTAGTCAGTCTTATAGTCATACATCCCGCATTGACAGTTGATGTCGCAGTACCAGAAATGAAATACTCAGAAAACTTGTTTATTATATCAAGCAAACGCTGTAGCTGGTCACCAGTTAACGGCGTGTTGACTGAGATTGACTTATCAGACTGAATAGCCATCACTCTCTCGCAATTAGTCGCTTTCCTAGTTAACGATTGAGAATCTCGGGTGCGAACATATTGAACACCTTCCCTATTGAGTACGTCAGTTCCCACAATAATAGGCGTATTCATGAACTTGGACTCCACCACGAACAAATCTACTTCGAGCGTTAAGCCGTCAAACTCTATTGGCAGTGTTACGTAGGAGGTAGTCTCAAGTTCCTGACTACCCAATCCGCGTAAAATGCGAAAACTAGGCTTATGTGCACAATCAAAATGTTTCAATAATGCTGACGATATAAGAGATATGGTCGACCCACTATCGATCAAAACGTCCACCGGAACACCCTGAATTACGGCTACAACAACGTCGCTTTTCGGGGTATCCTTATTTTCAACGCAAAAATTGACATTGTTCTTGTTTCGTGCCTCAGATTTTTGCTTTGCAAAACATTGATCCATTTTGTGACCATGCTTTTTGCAATATGAACAAAGCTCCGATTTAAATGACGTAGAAGGCTTAGAAACACCGGAACCGTTAAGGTTAGGGGTCTCATTTGAATCTGTTTTTATTTTCTTGCAAAAAAGCCTGTTTATGTCCGCGAAGCCCACACGAAAAACACTTGCCCTCTTCCAACTTTCGTTTTCTATTTTGTGTACTCGGACTTGAATTATTTTTATTATTTTTCGAATTATTATGCAAAGTGGATTGAGGACGAGTCCTAGAAGTGGAATGTTTCACATAAATCGAAAGAAAACCGACTAAATCCTGAGGCAATAATTTAGCATTTGTGGCTGACGCTTTAATGTGGGGATCGGTGATACCGCGTATCACAATTGCCGAAATAAGTTCGTCACTGAGTCCACGAACAACACTTAGCCGAAGCAGTGAGCGTCGAGCGTAGTCAGCGTACGTGGAATAATTATCTGAATTTGTTGACATAACTTCATACAAAATGTTTGCAATATCTGGCGTTTTCGGGCATAACGGTGTAAATTCCTTTTTGAAATTACTCCACGTACGATCACTCGTAACCCACTCGCGTAACCACAAACGAGCATCACCCTTCAAACAATTTCCTATTCGCGCAAGACACTCGTGATCACTCCAATTATTTGACAATTTTGCACGGTCAACTTCCTCACACCAGTCACTTATGTTGTGTAAACTAGGATCAAAACAAGATATAAAATAATTTTGGTCAGATCTCACCCGATTACTGATGGAACAAATAGCATCCACAATGCGATCTGTTACCGACACCTCACTGGCAGCCACAGGTGGTTGCATCGAGGTTTCAACCGAGGGGCCGGCACGAAATTTGGCTGCCGATTCGGAGGTCATCGTTGGCAAAGGCGGCGTATGCGATCGCAGCGTCTGCGCAGACCGCTCCAGTAACTGTGTCGTTACGTGGGTAGAGCAAGAACTCTCGCGTCGCCGCTCCGACACGTTCGCATGGCTCCACTCTGGCGCGTCCGCCTGGCGCCGCGCTGTCGGTAACGGCGGTGGCGAGCAGCGCCCGCGTCGCGGAGAGCCACGCGAATCTCGCCTCTCCGGTGACTGTCTCGAACGTGCCGATGATATGGTCGTCTGATTTTCTAACGCTTGTAAACGAGCTCGCATCATTTTTATTTCCCGCCTAAGATCTCGGTCCGGGGTACGGTCCCGATACCTACTACGTCGCTTACTTGGTTTTCGACTATGAGAACGGCTTCCGCGTCGTACGTGATCCGACATTTTGAGCAATTAATACGAAACTAAAACGGAAAACAAACGAAAATGGATAGTGGCTACGATCCCACTTCTGATTTTGTAAATGAAATAACGATTTAATTTTTTTTTAAAAAACAATTATCACAAACAAACTTTTAATCAAATAATTTCAAAACAAAACTGGGCATAGGCTATTTTCTAATAATTAAATGCAAATTTAAAAATAAAACGAAAAATGTCGGTCACGCAGTCAATCACTATCAACACGATGTGTACGCGTCAACGGCTCGCGGGGCAAATGGGCATGTCGCTTTTTTTTTTTTTTTTTTTGCGCCCGAAGCAAATATGGGCAACCCTCCGGAAAGCGGGGGGAGGGAGGTGGTGAATGCTCATAGCATACCACGCAGCCGGCTGCGTGGTTATGTGGCGACTTTTACCCACTAAACACCACCTTTTAGGAAATGGCTTAACGATCTGACTGGAGATCTCTAAGCCGTATACGAACGCGACCCTCCTTGGCAGAAAGGAGGGCGCAAAGGGCATGTCGCTGGGTGGCGCTGCCTTTTATAGGGGCAGATTTGTTTTCATATCTTCTCCTCCAATACTTAAAGTAAAAAAGGCTCCATCAACGGTATCACAAACTATTCCATCAATTATGAATATAAATCTCATAATGCATTTAATTTCTAATGATGAATTATATCGGACTTGATTCAAAAAGAATTTGGTGAAAAATTGCTATGCCGATAGGTAGAACCATAAAATATTCAACTATACTTTTTTTATTTAAATTCCTTTAAAAGAATTACCTTTAAAAGAAGAAGAAGGAACCTCTTTCAAAAAAATTACGAAATGGTTATTTGAAAATTGTTTCTATAGTCTAAAAGAATATTTAGAAAGGAAAAATTAGTTTAATTATTTATGAGCTCCACTTATAGATAGTTTTTGTTTTAAATATTTGCACGTCTGAGAGCAGACTAAACACATGTACCTGCTACATTATATAGATATTTAACTGAAAACTCTGTCAACTATGTTTTATGCAAAGTACCTGGATGATTTTTTCGGAAATCGTGTTTTTTTGGAAATTATATTTAGATGCAAATTACATACTGATAAAATATGAATAATATTTTTCGATCTTACCGACGTAGTAAAAAAAACTGAACTGGTTATTTAAATAAAAAATCAAGAGAGCAATTAATTTAATTATTTGTGTTTTTAAGAAAAATACTAAAAAAGGGCTCGAAATAAAAAGAGAAAAGGAACTTGAAAAAAAAAAGGAAAAAAGCCACACCGATGAAATCTTGACTCGAACGCGGTTACCACAATTTTGAGATCGACCGCTATCCTATTTGAGCTATTATTGTTCCTGTGAGGTACTGGCAAAATTTACCTCCGTATGCTAATGACGTTATAGCAGTTTTTTTATTGCTTAAAAACACGGATAAAACGACAGTTTCTAAAAACGAATCCTAGCTCGTTTAAAGGTATTATTATAACAATAGCATCTAGAAGTAGCAATGTCGTGTTTAGTTGTTAATATCGCCAAACAATCTCTTTTCATTGACTTGGTCAAGCTTTATCATCTTGTAGTCAACAAACACTGTTATATTTTATGAAATACCGCCATTTCACTTTCAGTAATCGGCTAATTTATCATATTATAAATTCTAAGATATTATCAATACATATATAAAAATATTTTTATTGAAATTAAGGGTAATAAGAGTTTTGTACTAATTGCAACTTTTATCAGTTTATGTATAGATAAATAAACTAAACATTAAAACTTTTTATTGATTAAAATTAACTTAGAAACATCGTTAAATTATGATTTTCGATAGATGTCATTATTATCTTTTTTAGAAGTCATTTGTTAGTATAAAATTTATTATTATCTACTAAAATTAAATAAAAAAATAAAAATTGTACATAAGAATTTTCAAATAAAAATAACTATATAAATGCTATATAATTTAATTTGTTAGTAGAGGCAAAATTTCATTTATTTTTGTATTTTTCGTTAGATGGCACTGTTTTGAAAAATTGAATGCAACAATAATATTGTAGTTTGTCGGCGTGGTTCAATTTATTACTCAACGGTCAAAACTAATGTTGGGCTTTATTTATAAATATTTTATGTATTTTAATAGAACACATCAATCGTATAAAATAGAAATTAAGATCTAAAGGAAGGAAAATACTCAATCCTCTTTTTTTGAAGTTCCGTAATTAGATAAAAAGTAGCCTATAAGTAGCCCCGGTTCCCCAACTACCTATACACAAAATTTCATGGAAATCTGCTCAGTAGTTTTTGTGTGAATCTTTAATACACAGACAGACAGACAGACAGACAGAAAGACAGACAGACAGACAAAAATTCTAAAAACCACTAATATGGCTTCAGTATTCTTCGTTTAGTCCCCTGGACTTGTTTTTTTCTAGAAAATATTAGAATTTCAGACACGACCTTTCTACAGATTTATTATATGTATAGATTATTCCTACTTAAATAAAATGGCAAAAGAACGTTCCAACACGTAATAACAAAAATTTGTAACAATGTACCGTAAGACGGCCTAAAAAGCATAAAACAAAAATTTTAAAAACAAGTTAAGAAAACTTTATACTAATAAATAGTAAAAATTTGAATTGTGCAACAATATAGGTAAGCGATCATAATTATGTATATATATACATATACATATATATATATATATATATATATATATATATATATATATATATATATATATATATATATATAAACATTTATTTATTAGTCCTTTAATATTACTAATTAATGTTTTATCAAAACTATTAGTTTCATATATTAGAGGTAGTACATTTTTATTAAGCTATTTTTGCATATTAGAAAGTAAGATAGTATATTTTTCTGCCAATAAACTGCTGAGCAGTTTGGCAGACTGTAAAACTGTAACTGTGTGAACTTTTATTATGTTACATAAATAAATCGACAACCGCAGTAGCAGACGTCTCGCTATGACGCCGCTGGCCTTCATCGGTATAGAATTTTACGTCCGGTATAAATAGTCGTACAGTCATCTAGAAGCCATTGAATTATTCCGGCATTTTTCATAGTCGCTATAATATGTTGTAGGTTAAATAAATAATATGTTATTCTTTTTTTTTTGTTAAGCCCTTGTTATATATTTTTCAAAAGAAATGGCAACCTTTTAAAATGGTGTATTTACTGTTCGATTTTTATCAAATAATCTCATTTCAAAAGATTATATTCTTCAGTGTGTTCTGCTGGTATAACTGGATTTCACATGTCGTAGAAAATTTCATTTCTTAGATTTTTAGGGTTTCCTCAATTCAGAAGCCAAAATTAAAATCAACAATTTCTATTCGATTCAAGGTTTCCTTTATCTTCTTTCTTATATATAAAAATCAGTTGCGGTCCCTTAGTCTCGATTAAACTCGAAAACGTTTGGAATGATTTTAATATGTTTTGTATGTATTAAAGTGGGTTTGGTGGGTCCTTGGATGGTATAATAACTCAATTGGATCCGGTAGGTGGTGCTGTTATCGCGATCCAGTAATTACCCGTGCGAAGGCGGGGCGGATCGCCAGTATACTATTTAATTTACTCTTTGTTGTACACTAAAGAAAGATTAGTATAACAAAAATAAACAAATGTTAAGGGGAAAACAAAAGGGAGTTTTATTGCTACATAGCAGGTAACCCAGAAAAATAATAAAAAAAAGAAGATAAAGATTAACAGGTGGGGTATGTTATAGTAACAAAGAATAAGGTGATGTACTAAAAGACAACATACTTTAGGAAATCGATCAGCTACCATAAATAAAAGGAGAAAGAAAGAAGGGTTTAAATATTCCAAATAATTGTTGAAACATCGTAATAAATTTACATTTTTATTCTTTTTACTTTTAATTTAAATTAAATCATATTAATTTAGCAAATTTCCATTTTTGCTACGCCTTTTAAAATTGTGCTTACAAAGTTTAAAAGTTTAAATTATTAAAAAAATTTACTCTCGCTCTCGGCATAACCGGGGATTGAAACGAGAACTTTTATAATATTTTACAGTTCTTTTAAAAGACACGTTTATCTATGGCTTTCTTTCTTAGTAATAAATATTAATTTACTTGCAAAACGCGACAGAGATTTGTTTAAAAAGATATTGTTTTAGCCGACTTTAGAAAAATAGGAGGTACTCAGAGCTACTGTATGTGTTTAGAATGTTACGCGATATCTTCTTCAATGTTCTGTTCAGCAATGGACTTTTGAAAGGCGGTGCTCTTCCCGACCGCATCGTCCGGTGGTTTATTTCCCTTTTTTTCTAACGCTCGACCGTTTGTTCTCCTTTGTCGAGCTTTCCTTTAATCTAGTTAGATATTATATACATATACAACCCAACCGGTTTAAAATAGTATTTTAATACGCTAATAATAATAATATAAAAAGTAACTCTACTATCATCATCATTACAACACTTCACAAATCCAGTACTGTGTATAGTACTTCCCCGAGCAATGCCCCAAAACACGGTTCTAACCACCACCTGCATATATTGAAGTCCTATCTCTTACGGGGTTGACACTTTGTATAATGGAGGCCCGTCTACACTTCCCTTATTGGTACTAGACTCCCACTTGATAACCTTTCTTCCCTATTCGTTGATAGGTCTTGGAGCTATTTAGCTGATCCTTTGTCATTTTAGCTTACTGCATTATACAATCCTTTACATCATTATAAATTTTAGCTTACTGCATTATACAATCCTTTACATTATTATAAAACTTTACATTTTACTAGCGAATCGCTTTGGTTTCACACGGATGATTTCTGGCGTCCCATTGTGGGACTAAACCGTTCAGGGACCAATACAAACACGTACAAAAAAATTCATCAAAATAAGCCCA